TTTGACTGTAATTGCCAGTTTTCAGAAGTTATAATTCAGTGTAGTGTAATATTTAATTTATCTTTCACATTAAAACTTCAAAAATAATGAGCATCCTTTTTTATATCTTTATTTCATTTTGATTTTTATAATAATTAAGAGATAGAAGTCTTCAAAGGAATATAACTGCAATTTGTTTTAAAATTTATTAAGATCTATAAAGAAGGCAATACAAGAACATGTCATATATGCATAAGAATTTTGGTCCTTGTTCAGTAGCAAGAGGTTTAAAAAAGGAAGAGAACGTTCTGACTGGCTTCCCAATGTAATCTATATATCTTCAAGATTTTGCCATCAAGTAACTTCCTGAATTCTAAAAATTATGTCACCTGTACTTCACCAGGTGACTAGTCCTGTGTTTTAGACACCATACACTGACAATACTGAAAGAGAATTGTCATTTCATTAAGCTCCAGACTTTGAATGCTGTTTTCAACTTTGAATTAACAATTTATTTTATTAATTTGATCTGAAGTGTATGAAATCGGGAAAATTTATCTTATATTAAAATAAAAAAAGAAAAACAATATTTTTATTTGCATGCATAAAAGACCTGGGCAGTTTGGAAACATACACTAAAGTTTTAGCATTTTCCTAAAATATGATTAAGTAAAAATAACCTCGACTTGACAATATCCTGATTTAATGAAAAATTTCATGAATTATGTCACACTTTGATTACTATTAATTGTTTGAAATGATATTTTTGCATCCTTAATTGACAAACTTAATGACTATAGCACAGGGAATTAAAAAAAATTACTGAATTTAATTCAATGAACTTTTCATTAAGTCACTCGTGGGCAAAATTAAGAGAATTTGCAAATTATGTTTATTTTTAAGAAAAGTTTTGAATCTAAGGTACTAATTATGCCGCCAAAGAATTATGCAAATATTCAGAGTCGAATACGTAATCGTACATGTGCGTATCTGCGGAGCTATGATCGTGAAAAGAATGTCAGCGCACGAGGGGTTTTCAACAATTCATTACAATACTGGATATTAATCTGCATTGTGATTGCACCTGTATATATTTGTGTATATTTGATACCTCCTTTTTTAATATCTAAATTGTATTACACTTCATTTGTATTCTTATTTCATTGCCCCTTTGCTGTGTATATCAGAGACTTCGAGGATTTTTTCATCCCTCCATTTCATGTGTTCTATAACCACTAGTTGGCACCACATTACAGTAAATCACCTATCTGCATGTTGGAAAATTTTTTATCACCAGTTCGGACTAGCGTCCACTTCTGCGATGGAATCAAAGAGTTAAATGCAATGGTAGCCACAGTAATTTGCTATAGAGTTTCCGCCGATTACGGTGTGTATGTATAAAGCCAATGGCCTAGAAGAGTTCTCCCAGATTCGGGTAAAAACCAGTTAGTTACATGCCTGTTTCAAAGCCACGCTCGGCGATTAACGGTAGATTGTCGCCAGATCAATCAGAAGCGCAGGTAGTTAAAGAGCTCAATGTGACACCCAGTGTCGTCAGCAATTTATGGAAACAGTTTCAGGACTTTGAAAAGTTCGACCAAGATCCACAACCAAGGTCCAAAGCCGACCAAAATCCACAACGACGATTGAAGCTCACTATTTGCCTCTTTCAGCGCTGCGACACAGAACTGCTACAGATTCACAACTCTCACCTGAGCTATATGCTGCCGCTGAAATCCGAGTTTCACGGTTTACAGTTGTCTGAAGGCTTCATGAGATAGGGCTGTATGCCAAAAGACCTGCTATTTGCGTTCCGCTCACTTCAATACACAGACTTCAGTGCGTGCTTTTTACACGAGCCGAGATATGCCTGGCCATTGATTCTTATTGTGTCTGCATCTGGAAAGAGCCTGGAACACGATACCATCCCTCCCTCATCATGGGAAAGGATCATTACGGTGGTGGAGGTGTAATAGTTGGGTAGGTATTATGCTGAACGGCCCCACACCCCCTTCATGTGTTTGACAAAGGCTTTCTGATTTCTATGAGGTATAGAGAGGCAATCTTAGATCGTATGTTTCAGGAGCGCAGTTGGTCCGGTGTTCCTGTTAATGGATGACAAAGCTCGTCCACATAGGGCTCAGCTGGTCAACAGTAACCTGGAAAGTGAGGATATTCGCCACCTGGCTGGCTAAACAACGCAACACCTAACTGAAATAATATATCCCTATAAAGCATGTCTGGGACGCTCTTAGGAGGGCAATTTTCCCCCCTCCAAGAACCATCCTGGAGTTGAAAACTGTCTTGTTGCAGGAATGAGACCGACTGCCATAGGGGCTCTTCATCTGCGTCCTGTCTAGTATGCCGTCACGCTACACGACCTGTCTGGCTGTGGAAAAGACCATACCTCATATTAGATCTTAGAGAGATGTTAATTTATTTTACCGATGTTTATTTAGAGCTTTATTGATAATCATGAGACATAAAATGACTTGGAATGTCACATTCCTTTCTCTGTTATAAATGTATATTCATAGCGTAATTTTAAAATAATTCATATTCAGCGATTTTAAGTGATTTACAATAAATTTGACAGATGAACTCCTGTGTAAATAGAAAGTTTAAGAAACATTAATGAAGTTCTCCTGTATTTATTTATGTCTTTATTCTAAACAACGCAACACCTAACTGAAATAATATATCGTTAGTTTCGCTTTCAGTTTCAGGATAGTTCTAAAAAATTATTTCAACTTTTTTAAAAATTAACAGTATTCAGGATCTTACCTGTTTTTGAGGTGATCCTCTCTACTTCTCAAGGTTCCATATGATTTCGATCTTGTGCGAAAGTGATTTTCAGTACCGATATTAGAGTCTTAGAAATATTTTGTTCTTTTCAGAGATGGACGCAACTAGAGAGTTTACTGCATTTTTTTTTTATTCCGTCACAAATAAGGTGAGGTGATGAACGATTTCATCACGTTTGAATATTGTGAATGATTTTGTGATTTCATGTTATGCCCTGTTAATTAAATTAAATAAAGGGAAACTTTTTTAAAATTATTTCGTGTGATATTTGAATATGATGCAAATGTTATGCCATTTTTTTAATCATATTTAAAGACAATATCCACATTTTTTTTTAAAGCTAACTTTTAACAGTTACCGTTATTGAATCTAAGAATCTCTAGAAACTATGCATTTTCGTCTCACAAATATAATAAATAATGTAACTGTTCAATAACAGACTGACAATACTTTTATAAATTTTAAATAAGTTTGAATAATTCGTACATTTATCAGTTAACCAGATTTTTAAATCGCTATAATTTAAACACTTTTTTTTAATATGCTTGGCACTTTTTTCATTTTTGGCATTGCGAACTTGGTATATAACATTATTCGAATTATCGAAAACAGTTTTAAAAAATTATATTTGAGAATGCAGGTCATGATATAAAGAATTATCGCATTTGGCCTTTGCCTGTTCTCATGACTAGCACGTCCAGCTGTCATGAAGACCAAACATTAGCTTATTCTTGCTGATTTTTTATGGCAGTTTATGTAGCACCGATGTGCGTAATAAAAAAAAACTGCCCACTAAATTATTCATAAGTCAAATGAAACAGTTTACACAGTTCTTTTTAAGCTGTACAGATATTAAACTATGCACGATTAGCTAAAAAATTATTTTATTTTAGTAATTGAGTTTGTACATGCACTTTAACACATTGACTGCCATGTACATCATCGATGATTCATAGCGGCCTTACTTTTCGGAGCCATGCTCATCGAATGTGACTCAAATTTTGTATTGTTTGAAGCTGTGTGAGTCATCGGTGCTTCACAAATGGATCAATTTATATGGTTAAAATTATTTCTACATTCAGAAAGTTGTTCGTATTCTTGGTTTCGGCTTCTGGAAGCTTCAGTTGTGTTCGTATTCTTGGTTTCGGCTTCTGGAAGCTTTTTTCATAGATTATTATCTGATTTTAATATAGATTTTGCTGCAATAAGTAATCATTATTTATGAAGTAAAACAACGAAGTTATAATTAAATGGGATTGTGTTGTTTATTGAAAGAATACAAGACTAGCGATATTTTTTAAGATGTTTACACATTCACTAAGTTATTTATTTTTGGTTATGTATTATGTTTTATTATTTGTATTGTAATACAGTATTTGTCTAATTTTACCAATTTTTCCTATTGAGACATAGAACTCTTGTGTTAATTTACAATGAACTGAAATGTAATAAATTTATTGTTTTAAACCTGTTATTTGTTTATCTATTTATTAAATATTCATAAAAATATATTCAGATTAGGTACTGAACTGATTTTTAGGATAAAGGAGACACGAAACCACTAGAATTAAAAAAATGATCCGACAGACTGTTTTACCAGATTTTGCTGTGGCACTGTGTTAAATAAAGATTACACACCCACGTGTTAAATAAAGATTCTTTTCAAGTACCCTAAAAAACTTTGATTTTAGAAAACATCAATTATGTCCGTGAAGTATTAGCAAGTTTGTTATATTTATAATACCGCTGCCATGGCTTCAGCCATGGCATGCGAATCCCCAAGAGCTAAATAATGATATATTTCATTATTTCGCTCTTTATTATCCATTAAAATGGGGGTATCGCCTCAACCAGAGGTTCATTGTAGCCCAAATAAGTCTGTAGAGTTTAAAAAAAAAAAAAGGTGAATTTGAAGATTTAATAATGTCCTTATTCTTCAGAAACACAATTTGGGTACACTAAAATTAAATCATCATGCTAGAAAATTAATTTCTTTAAAGTTGCACAGTAAACACCACGTGATGCGAGGTGGCCAATAGCGAGTGAAGGAGTCATAAGACCGCGAACTAAAATTTTCACTGAAAGCAAAGTCTTTGCTTTAAAACACTACACAGTACTAAATAAATTCTTGGTTAAATGAAAAATAATAAGTAAGAAATATAAGTTGCAATCAAAGTCCATAAGCTTTGTCAGAGCATAGTCCATAACGTAAACTGATCTTGAGTAATGAAGAGTAATAAGATACGTAAAATAAGTAGAAATAAAAGATATACACTGTACACTACCACCCATAATGCATTATGATGTATAGTTCGCGGTCTTTTATCTGTGGGTTCTTTAATGGCTAGGTATTGTGAGTTTTTCAGTTTTTCAAAGAAGTTGTGTGCTGTAGTTAGTATTTGATCATGAATCGGGAGAATTTTTAAACCCTTATGGATTTGCGCGTTCCGCACAAACCAAGGTGCATTTGTTATGCTACGGAGAATCTTATTAGGTAAGACGTTTTTTTTCTAGAGTTCAATTTATCCGGCAGCTGCCCATGCAGGAACTGCATAGAGTAGAATTGGTCTGATGAGGGTGATATAAAGATTTCTCTTAGTATTCAGATTTAATTTAGATTTCCTTCCAAGCAGGGAGTAAAGAGACATAAATGCTGCATTAGCTTTATTGATGGTATACTGGATATGGTCCTTGAAATTTAAAGCTTTGTCGACGTACACTCCTAGGTATTTATATGAGCTTGCTACTGGAACAGGTGAATTATCTATTTTAATATTGGAATTAACTGGAAAATTTTTTCTGTATCTGCGATATAAAACAACACAACATTTATCTGCGTTAAGTTTAATTTTCCAAATTTCACAGTATTTGTTGATTAGATTAGCTTGCATTTGGAGTTTGTCAAGACCATTTTGTGGATTTCTAGAGCTGGTTAAGATAACTGTATTGTCCGCATATTTATAAATACTTGAGTGTAGTGGGACAGGCATGTCATTTATAAAAATATTAAAATATTTCGGTCCTAAAACAGACCCTTGAGGGACGCCTCGGAAAATCTCTTTCTTGATGAGAGAATTTCTCCACATCTTTACTTGAAACGTGCGACAGTAGAGATAAGAGTAGGTAAGTTTAATGAAGCTATTAGGCAGAAGGAAATTTGACAATTTGTGGAGTAAGCCAAGCATGCCAGACTCGGTCAAATGCCTTCTCAAAATCGAGAAAGCATGCTGCTACTCCATTCTTTTTTCTAAATTCTTTGGGCGATAAATTCTACCAGGTGGAGTATCTGATGAGTAGTACAGTGTCCCTTTCGGAAACCAAATTGGTTCCTATCAATGCCAATTTGGTAAGTCTTGTACTGATGACACGTTCAAAAACTTTGCAGAGAGCCGGTAACAGGCTGATGGGTCTATAATTTTTGGCATATTTAAGGTCTTTTCCAGGTTTCAAGATGTTAATAATTATTGAATGCTTCCACTGAGAGGGAAAATAGCAGTGACGAATGCATGCGTTGAAAATATTAGTGATAAGTACTATACATCTGTTAGGCAGTGCTTGTAGCCCTTCATTTGAGATATTATCAAAGCCTTGGCTTTACGTTTTTGATAATTTAGTGGCTTTATTATGGCTTTTAATTATGATAGCATTTTCGCCTCCTCTGTTGTGGGGGTCTATCCTCTCTGATAGCCATGAATTCTGAATCTGTCACAAGCTCGAAGATGTGTTTCATTGACTAACATGACATCAATGTCATGTTTTTGGAGGTCGGAGATCGGAGATCATCATTCGTTAAGTGGTGTTCAACCCGAAGGCCTTTACCACTACATGTTTATCCATCCCCTAAGGACCTGTAAAAGTTATTTTTGGAGGTAAGAGATGAGCTGAGGTTGTTGCTTACGGATACCGTTAGCATTGAAGAAATTAATTTTTATAAAGCTTTTGGTAGCTGAAATAAGATTAGGAATATTATGAATCGGCTTAAAATTCATAATCAATATTTGACAGATAATCAAAAACGGCCATGCCGACCTCTAATTTTTCAAATATTCCTTTAGCATTTTTAAATTTTTAGAAGAAATCTTTAATTTGTAACTTTAACCTCTCATAAAATCCTAATTGGCTAGTTTTTGATCCTTTCGGTTGGTTTTCATCTCTGGATGGCTGTTGCCAGGCAGGACTACGTTTAGGGATCTCCTTCGGATTGAGCGCCGGGAATTCATTTTTGTCGTAATGGAATTGATTCTTCGTCGCTTCTATTTTGGCTTTAATTTCTTCAATCTGTTTCTGTATATTAAATGGGTGCTTAGGGCAACCTTTAAAAGAAGAAATGTGATCTGCTCCGCAGAGGGCACAGACTGGAGGTTTATCTTTATCATTTTTTGTTTGGGAGCAAGTATAGGTCTCGTGAGGTTTTGCACATTTTAAACAGCATGCTTTGTATTTGCGGCGATCCCGTGTATGCCCGTACCGCTGGCACTTATGGCATTGCATGGGGCCAGGGCGAGATTTGTAAGGTTTCCACGAACACGTCGAGTCCTCTTAATTTCTTTATGTCATATATAGCTTTACCTTCTTTATTGCGGGTGCATTCAGCTAAGTATACAGGTAAATGGATAATTTTCCCCTCAATAACATGAGTGATTTGACGGTTTTTTTTTGGATGGGTATTTCCATTTCTTTTATTTCAGATTTGATACGTTCAATATTAGCAGTCTTTGGCAGTTTCTCGATTATAGCTTTAATGGGTTTCTCGATGTTCATTTTAAAAGTATGGTAGGGGAGTTCAAGTTTATCTAAAAAATCAGTGAGCATTCTGTAATGTTCAGAGTCGTAAACTCTGATGGTAAGAGTTCCACCGGATAAATTTCCGCGGAATTTTTTGATTTGTAACTTTTCTTCAATAGCATCTTTTAATTTGTCCCAGTCGCCTGCAAAGTCGGCTAGGACAGTGGGAGGGGGATATGCCCTGCCGTTTTTGTTGGGGCTATAAAATCACCCTGCTCGTTAGTAGAATCCATATTGTCTTCGAGATTTAATTCCTGGAATTTGTTTTTCTGTGCTGGC